TGTGTGTGTGTGTGTGTGTGTGTGTGTGTGTGTGTGTGTGTGTGTGTGTGTGTGTGTGTGTAAGTATATACCACATGCTATTAAGTGCTACTATCATTTACTCTGGCTGTAATTACGACCTTTATTGTCCTCCTTAAACGTTGATATTTCACTATCCCAGAACACAGTCGGGACAACCACTGTGGCTAAAATTCTGACGTCAGCGACGCTGCACTTGTTCCTGTCCTTGATCCTGTCCCTGATCCTGTTCCTGATGATGTCCCTGATCCTGTCCTTGATCCTGTTCTTGATCATGTCCCTGATCCTGTCCCTAATCCTGATCCTGATCATGTCCCTGATCCTGTCCCTAATCCTGTTCCTGATCATGTCCTTGATCCTGTCCCTAATCCTATTCCTGATCATGTCCCCGATCCTGTATCTAATCCTGTTCCTGATCATGTCCCTGATCCTGTTCCTATTCCTGGTGCTGTTCCTGCTCTTCTTCTCCCTGTTCCTGTCCCCCTTTCTCTCGCTGTTCCTGTCCCCCTTTCTCTCGCTGTTCCTGTCCCCCTTTCTCTCGCTGTTCCTGTCCCCCTTTCTCTCGCTGTTCCTGTGAAAGAACTCTAGTGAGAACTATCAGATGATGCATGTAATATTTTTCATGAAGCGTTGTTATCAGAAGGCTGAAGTGTGACGACAACTGTGGGTTATCGTCATGATACTGAGATGTAAGACTCTGCCTACATTACAAGGGAGAGCTGCAAAACCTCGGTTCTCTCTCTCTATTAGAGTGAGGAGACGCACTTGCGCGCGCGCGCATGTGTGTGTGTGTGTGTGTGTGTGTGTGTGTGTGTGTGTGTGTGTGTGTGTGTGTGTGTGTGTGTGTGCGTGTGTGTGCTCTCCTGTCACCGGAAGGCACCACAGAAGGGGAGCCGCACGAGAGAGAGAAAATAGCATTGTTACCCCTTTCGGAAGTTAACTAAGATAAGATTTGCTGAGGGCTGGTGGTGGGTCACCCTCCCAGCAGTGAGTTGTGTTGTGTCCAGACTGTGTGTATGTGTGTGTGTGTGTAGTATGCTGTACACGCAGCTGCCCAAGACACCACTCAACTCTTGATTATCAGGTACTCCTGAGCACAGGACGGTATCTGCTGGTTCCAACACTCAGGAGAGCAGCAGACTTCCTCAAGGAAGCTGCTTAGGCCCACGTGTGGCATTGCTGGTACTGAAGGAACCAGATTACGTCTTCAATAAGCAGAGGAGTTTTTCAAGGAACCAGTTCAGGTCCTTGAAGAAACAGTGAAGTTCCTCCAGGAACGAGTTCGGATCCTTGAAGAAGCACGGAAGTTCTCCCAGGAACCAGTTCGGGTCCTTGAAGAAACAGTGAAGTTCCTCCAGGAACCAGTTCAGGTCCTTGAAGAGGCAGTGAAGTTCCTCCAGGAACCAGTTCGGGTCCTTGAAGAAACAGTGAAGTTCCTCCAGGAACCAGTTCAGGTCCTTGAAGAAACAGTGAAGTTCCTCCAGGAACCAGTTCGGGTCCTTGAAGAAACAGTGAAGTTCCTCCAGGAACCAGTTCGGGTCCTTGAAGAAACAGTGAAGTTCCTCCAGGAACCAGTTCGGGTCCTTGAAGAGGCAGTGAAGTTCCTCCAGGAACCAGTTCGGGTCCTTGAAGAAACAGTGAAGTTCCTCCAGGAACCAGTTCAGGTCCTTGAAGAGACAGTGAAGTTCCTCCAGGAACCAGTTCAGGTCCTTGAAGAAACAGTGAAGTTCCTCCAGGAACCAGTTCGGGTCCTTGAAGAAGCAGTGAAGTTCCTCCAGGAACCAGTTCAGGTCCTTGAAGAGACAGTGAAGTTCCTCCAGGAACCAGTTCAGGTCCTTGAAGAGACAGTGAAGTTCCTCCAGGAACCAGTTCAGGTCCTTGAAGAAACAGTGAAGTTCCTCCAGGAACCAGTTCGGGTCCTTGAAGAAGCAGTGAAGTTCTTCCAGAAAGTAGTGTTGGTGCTCAACCAACAAAGTTCTCGAGGACCTCAGACATGAAGTGTTAAATGAGTGCCATCTCTTGATACACTCTTAAAAGCTTACAATGTCTCTGTCAGAATACATCTTCCGCGCTCTTACAGTTCAGCAGTGCTGGTAACCCACATATGTTGCCTCTGGCCTGCGTGTAAGCCAGCAACAGTAACAGCAACAAGCGTCAAAATAGTTTAAGACTTCAGGAGTACTTTTTTTTGGCACGATGTTCGGTATAAAGAAAAAGGAAAAGACCAAAGGGGTGGCGGGTATTAAGTTCCAACCCACTCGCGAGGATGTGGTGGATTTCTCTATCTTACCCACCCCAACAACGCCCCCAACAACCCCCACTTCACAACCCTCCTCAGCAAACAGCAACAACAATAATATTTCCTCTGATAACCCCTTCGTAAAACCTAGTCACCATCCAGGTGAGGCAGACACAGCCTCCATCAATCTTGACTACTACACTGATGGACACAATCACCTCACTGATGACGATGACATGCCAGGTAAAGTGGTTTTCCTCTATAATAAGGAATTTATTATCTACCTATTAAAGGCAATAACAACAGTAGCCTCTACCTTAAGTGACTCCTCTTAATAGGTGAGGCTGGGTATACTGCGTATGGTATATTCATGTTTTGGACACACACACACACACACACACACACACACTTAACATCTCTAAAAAGTTTAATATGTGTTATTATATATTACTTGAGGTTAGAATAAATTAGCCTACGTTCACAAGGTGCTTACGTCTGGCAGTGGTGAAGACGTCACACTGAGAACGTCGGTAACCTGACGCTCGAGGTTCAACTTAACCTTCACCAGCCTAAGTTGTACTGGTAGGCAGTACCACCGCAACTTGGGCTGTTGAGCACAATCATCCAGCTCATCCTGTATTGTTTAGGTAAGACACATATGCAACAGTTAGGTATCTTTATTTCGAAACGTTTCGCCTACACAGTAGGCTTCTTCAGTCGAGTACAGAAAAGTTGATAGAAGCAGAAGAGACTTGAAGACGATGTAATCAGTCCATCACCCTTAAAGTTTTGAGGTGGTCAGTCCCTCAGTCTGGAGAAGGGTATTGTTCCATTGTCTGGAATATTATTCCAGTCAGTCCCTCAGTCTGGAGAAGAGTATTGTTCCATTGTCTGGAATATTATTCCAGACAATGGAACATATACCAGACTACCAATGCTGTGTATACCACCTGTGCACCACCTGTGCACCACCTGTCTCCACTACACCATTTATCTCAACTACACCTGTCTATACTGGACAAACTGACTGTACTGCACCACCTGTCTATACTGCACCACCTGTCAATGCTTCTGATGTTATTGTTGCTCCTCCTGTTATTGTTTCTACTGTTACTGTTGGTGCTGTTGCTCCTCCTGTTACTGTTTCTACTGTTACTGTTGGTGCTGTTGCTCCTCCTGTTACTGTTTCTGCTGTTACTGTTGGCGCTGTTGATCTCCCTGTTACTGTTTCTACTGTTACTGTTGGTGCTGTTGTTCCTTCTGTTACTGTTTCTACTGTTACTGTTGGTGCTGTTGCTCCTCCTGCTACTGCTTCTACTGGAGAAATAATATTAGACAGGAACAACAGAAGAAGGAACAACAGAAGACAGAAACAACAGAGGACACGAACAACAGTAGGGGACCATGCCCGTACTTATAAGATTATTATTATTATTATTATTATTAAGAAAAAGAAAAATAACAACAGCAATAATAATAGTAATATATAATAATAATAATAATAATAATAATAATAATAATAATAATAATAATAATAATAATAATAATAATAATAATAATAATAATAATAATAATAATAATCTTGTAAGTAAGGATATGTTAATAATTCTCTCTCTCTCTCTCTCTCTCTCTCTCTCTCTCTCTCTCTCTCTCTCTCTCTCTCTCTCTCTGATCTTGTTTACCGTTCACCTTCAAATTAACAGATGACTGTTGTACCTTTGATCTGTTGCCTCCACCCGTCACCTCCCCCATCCCCTTCCCCCCCTTCCCCTCCCCCTCCCCAACCATCACCATGAACACAGGTAAGAGACAGTGAGATATATCACACTGATAAGATATGTGAGATAGCGAGTCCGTGACACTACCATGGTGGCACTACCATGGTGGTACTACCATAGTGATGGTGGCACTACCATGGTGGCACTATCATAATGGTATTACCATGGTGGCACTACCATGGTGGTACTACCATAGTGATGGTGGCACTACCATGATGGTACTACCATGGTGGCACTCCCATGGTGGTACTACCATAGTGATGGTGGCACTACCATGATGGTACTACCATGGTAACACTACCATGGTGGTACTACCATAGTAATGGTGGCACTACCATGGTGGCACTGCCGTATTGATAGTGGCACTACCATGGTGGCACTACCATAGTGATAGTGGTACTACCATGGTGGTACTACCATAGTGATGGTGGCACTACCATGACTTAGTAATATTTCCATTATATTTAGGAGTGAAGGTTCCCCTGGTTAACACGGACACCTCACCTAGGTGCCCTCACCTAGGTGTCCTCATTTAGGTGCCCTCACCTAGGTGCCCTAACCTATGTGCCCTCAACTAAGTGCCCTCACTTACGTGCCCTCACCTAGGTGCCCTCACATAGGTGCCCTCACCTAGGTTCCCTCACTTAGGTGCCCTCACCTAGGTGCCCTCACCTAGGTGCCCCCTCACCTAGGTGCCCCCTCACCTAGGTGTCCTCACCCAGGTGCCCTTACCTATGTGCCCTCACCTAGGTGCCTCACCCAGGTGCTCTCACCTAGGTGCCCTCACCTAGGTGCCCTCACCTAGGTGCCCTCACCCTGGTGCCCTCACCTATGTACCCTCACCTAGGTGCCTTCGCCCAGGTGTCCTCATCTAGGTGCCCTCACCTAGGTGCCCTCACCTAAGTGCACTCACCTAGGTGCCCTCATCTATGTGCTCTCATCTAAGTGCCCTCACCTAGGTGCACTCACCTAGGTACACTCACCTAGGTGCCCCTCACCTAGGTACACTCACTTAGGTACACTCACCTAGGTACACTCACATAGGTGCCCTCACCTAGGTACACTCACCTAGGTACACTCACCTAGGTGCACCCACCTAGGTGCACTCACCTTACACTCACCAAGGTACACTCACCTAGGTACACTCACCTAGGTACACTCACATAGGTGCTCTCACCTCGGTACACTCACCTAGGTACACTCACCTAGGTGCCTTCACCTAGGTACACTCACCTAGGTACACTCACCTAGGTACACTCACCTAGGTGCCCTCACCTAGGTACACTCGTCTAGGTACCCTCACCTAGGTGCACCCACCTAGGTACACTCACCTAGGTGCCCTTACCTAGGTACACTCACCTAGGTGCACTCACCTAGGTGCTCTCACCTAGGTCCCCTCATCTAGGTGCATTGGAGGACAGGAGAGATAGGGGGACATGATAACGACATACAAAATACTGAGAGGAATTGACAAGGTGGACAAAGACAGGATGTTCCAGAGATTGGACACAGAAACAAGGGGACACAGTTGGAAGTTGAAGACACAGATGAATCACAGGGATGTTAGGAAGTATTTCTTCAGTCACAGAGTAGCCAGTAAGTGGAATAGTTTGGGAAGCGATGTAGTGGAGGCAGGATCCATACATAGCTTTAAGCAGAGGTATGATAAAGCTCACGGTTCAGGGAGAGTGACCTAGTAGCGACCAGTGAAGAGGCGGGGCCAGGAGCTTGGACTCGACCCCTGCAACCTCAACTAGGTAAGTACAGCTAGGTGAGTACAGATCTCTGACGTAATAAAGCTCACCGTGTGGGTGAAACGTCTTCTTAGGCCTCAGTTTCGCCCATGACCTGGTTACCTCACTTAATTGTGGCTGCAGGGGTCGAGTCATAGCTCCTGGTCCCGCCTCTTGAGTATTCCTGGGAGCGTACAAGGTGCACAAACTCTTACATTTTTCACAAGCTTCCCCTTAAAAAATAATAGCGGTAATTCCCGTTTTTTCTCTTCAGTAACATTCCGTTTTTCACTAATGACGAACTTCCCGTTTTCTATAATGAATTATATCCTGTTTTTCTTCTCTTTTTAGGCTTGAGACTGTTATGTATTGTGGGAGTGTGTGGGAGTGTATGTGGGAGTGTGTGGGTGTGGGAGTGTGTGTGGGACTGTGTGAGTGGGTGTGGGAGTGTGTGGGATTGTTTGGGGGAGTGTGTGGGTGTGGGATTGTGTGGGGCTGTGTGGGTGGGTGCGGGAGTGTGTGGGATTGTTTGAGGGAGTGTGTGGGTGTGGGAGTGTGTGTGAGATAGCGTGGGAGAGTATGTAGGAGTGTATGTGGGAGTGTGAGTGTGGGTGTGCGAGTGTATGTGGGAGTGTGAGTGTGGGATAGTGTGGGGGGAGATAAGAGAGGTCAGCGCTGGTCAACACGAACAGAAAAAGATTATTGAAATAGACCTAGTGTGAGGGGGAAGGGGAGGGAGGGGGATGGAGGGAGGGGAAGGGAGAGGGGGGAGAGTATCAACAACGGAACACTGGCACTGTCCACACAAACAACGGAACACTGGCACTGTCCACACAAACAACGGAACACTGGCACTGTTCACACAAACAACGGAACACTGGCACTGTCCACACAAACAACGGAACACTGGCACTGACCAAACAAACAACGGAACACTGGCACTGACCAAACAAACAACGGAACACTGGCACTGTCCACACAAATAACGGAGCACTGGCACTGTCCACACAAACAACGAAAAACTGGCACTGACCACACAAACAATGGAGCACTGGCACTGTCGACACAAACAACGGAGCACTGGCACTGTCCACACAAACAACGGAATACTGGCACTGTCCACACAAACAACGGAACACTGGCACTGTCCACCCAAACAACGGAGCACTGGCACTGTCCATACAAACAACGGAACACTGGCACTGTCACACAAACAAAGGATCACTGGCGCTGTCCACACAAACAACGGAACACTGGCACTGACCACACAAACAACGGAACACTGGCACTGGCCACACAAACAACCGCACACTGGCACTGTCCACACAAACAACGGAACACTGGCACTGACCACACAAACAACGGAACACTGGCACTGTTCACGCAAATAACGGAACACTGGCACTGTCACACAAACAACGGAACACTGGCACTGCCACACAAACAGCGGAACATTGGCACTGACCACACAAACAACGGAACACTGGCACTGTCACACAAATAACGGAACACCGGCACTGACCACACAAACAACGGAACACTGGCACTGTCACACAAACAACGGAACACTGGCACTGTCCACACAAACTATTGCGTATTTCTTCCCAACATCCCCTGTGCTTCCCTGACATCCCCTGGGCTCCCCTGAGCTCCCTGACATCCCCTGTGCTCTCCTGAGCTCCTCTAAGCTCCCCAGTCAAAAGAGCCCTTGTTCACAGCTACCGGTGCTTAA